TACCAGTTCATCTTTGGGTTAGACCCATTTAGACCAGTTTACTCCACCTTCCACCACTGTGAACAGTTTATACTGGTTTAAACAATGTCCAGACCAGTTTGACCACCAGTGTAACTCCAGCTGGTGCACCTCTACAGGAGTCTAAACCAGTAAGCACTGGTTGCAGCGTTGTCCACAGCTTCACAGACCAGTTCATGTGAGTCTATCTTACCTGCACATGTCATCAGCGGACTGCGTGGGAGCCGATCAGATCGATCAGATCGATCAGAGGGTTTTTCTGTTGAGGTGATCGATGATGCAGAGCTTCAGACTGATTTCTGAGTAAACTGGGACTTGAAGGAGAACCCTGAGGTCCTCCAGTTGACATGAAGACCCACACTGTTGGTTTAGATCAAGTTGTATGAAGCTGACATGTGGACGATCACCATCATTGATCCCACTTTTCTAATGGCTGATCAATAGTCTTCTGCTTCAGACAGTCTGAAGGTCTGAATGTTTCTGCTTGAGGCTGAAACGCGACAGTTTTAAAGTTTCATAAGAGCCAATAGTTGTATTGAATGAAATGATGAAATCCAGCTGCAGCTGTTTGCAGATGTTCATGAAGAACGGAGCTGAGTTCAGACACTGATTCTGTAGATTCAGTTTCATCTGAAGGATCTCAGGTTCAAACACGACCGTTCATCAGTCAAAGGCTGCACCGGATCAGATCTGGTTTGACTGTTTACTACTGAGCCCAACATCCAGTTTGGTTCATCTGGATCAGAAACGTGGTCCGTTTCCTCTGTGGTTCAGATGCATGTGAGTCCATCACAACTTCACACCAGTTTAACACCTTTTCAAACCCTAACCTGCACTGGATCCGCCCGCTGTCACACGCCTGTTGTCACCACTGCACTGGCTCCGCCCGCTGTCACACGCCTGCTGTCACACGCCTGTTGTCACCACTGCACTGGCTCCGCCCGCTGTCACACGGCTGTTGTCACACACCTGTTGTCACCACTGCACTGGCTCCGCCCGCTGTCACACGGCCGCTGTCACCACCGCACCGGATCTGCACTGGCTCCACCCACTGTCACACGCCTGCTATCACCACTGGACATCTTCAACCTCTCGCTACAACCTGCCCTGCCCCACATGTTCTAAGACCTCCACCATCATACCTGTGCCCAAAAGTCATCCATATGAAGCCTGACTGTTGCCCCATAGCACTGACACCCATCACCACGAAGTCCTTTGAGAGGCTGGTGCTCTGACACTTCAGGTCCATCGTCCCCCCAGACCTGGACCGTCAACAGGTCGCTTCCAGAGCAAACCAGTCACCATGACGCTCCACACAGCCCTGACTCGCCTAGAGACCCAGCAGCGATGTGCTGATGCTCTTTATGGACTTCAGCTCTGCGTTTAACACCGTCGTGCCCCACAGACTGGTCAACAAACTGGACATTCTGGGCCTGGGCTCCTCACTGTGCTCATGGATTTTGGATTTTGTCACAGAAAGACCACAACAAATGAGAATAGGACACCACGCCTCCTCTGTCCTCACCCTGAGCACAGGAACCCCACAGGGCTGGTGTTGAGGCCCATCCTCTTCACACTGTCCACCCATGACTGCACCCCCATCCACACCTCCGTGGGTTCTCTCCAGGTTCTCCGGCTTCCTCCCACAGTCCAGAAACATGCTGAGGTTAATTGGTGATTGTAAATTGTCCGTAGGTGTGAATGTGAGTGNTATATCATGATATGTTTGTCTCTCTCTCTCTCAGTCTTGCTGCAGTTCTCAGTGTCGTTCGACCTCCTCCATCTTTCAGTCCAACGCAAAGTAAGAAAACTTCTAGTTTTGAAGCAGTTATTGATTAATGAAGTCACTGCAGCTATTGATCTGTTCAGCTGTAAATCTGACGCCATTGTATCTATCTGTACGTATTGATCAGGCTGGTGATTGATGACGGCACAGGTGAAGCTCACGTCTGGTTCTCAGGTGCGCTGGTTCGTTCTCTGCTCGGATTGGCTGACTCTCAGTGGGAGGGACTTCAGAGAGCACTCAGGGTTAAAGGTCACATCAGAGTGTACCCCCGGGGGCGGAGCTTGGTATGTAACACTCAGGTGTATACGTCTACCTGTTTCTCTCTCTCTCTCTCTCTCTCTCTCTCTCTCAGGTGTATACGTCTACCTCTCTCTCTCTCTCTCAGGTGTGTGACGGTGACTCTGATGAGTCTCTCTTTAACTTCCTGACGTGTGTGTGCGGCAGTGATGTCGTATGTCGGCCGATTTCCTTCACCTGCAGGAACCACACCAACCTGAGAACACAAGGTAACGCACACAGTAGCACAACAGCACACAAAGACACGTCCTGGATCAGTGAAACGTGTTGTCCATGTTGTTTGTTGTCCATGTTGTTTGTTGTCCATGTTGTTTGTTGTTCATGTTGTTTGTTTGTTGTCGTTCCAGAGGTGAGGCGGTTTAATCGAGCAGACAGAGATTTCTCCACCACGTTGCTCCGCCCCCTGCAGCTCACCTGTCTGCACCTGCACTGATCTTGTACAAATAAATAAATCTTTATTGTTTTCTGTTTCAGTCTCACCTTGTCCTCTACCTGCCTGTTGTCATGGCAACACGCCAGAGAGCTGAACCATGAAGCCAGTTCAACAGATCCAGACTTTCTCTGTGTAGCGGCTCCACATGAACTAAAGCTCCAGCAGAGACCACATGAAGGAGGTCCAGCTTCCTGCTTCAGACTGTGTTCTCATTAAAGAGGCGTTAAGGCGTCATGTGACTCTTCAACGTGTTCATAGAGAATATTTAGTGATGCAGCCGCTGGTTTCCAGCTGACAGCTGCACGTTAAACTTCACCTTCATACATTTAAACCTGATCTGGTGCTGAAGCTCATTCAGGTCTGACTCTGTCCCAGAATG